TAATTCTGGTCACAGTAAAGGAGCTGCTTTTCCCCTCACTGTGTGAAAATAAGTGTTTATAAGTGAGAGTCCAGGGAAGTGTAAACCAGGGGCTGGGCAGAACACAGGGAGGATGCTCTGCTGAGGGGTAAGTCAGTCTGGTCGTCCCTCAGCACCAGTTTGCTGTGTGAAATCCTTCCGTCCGCTCAGAGGATGTATAATAAGTGAAAAGCTAACAAAGCCAGGAGTTTTCTTCCTCTTTTTTTAAGTCGTGGCCTGTGTGTGTGTGCAGCATGGGCTGCACGTGTCTCGGGGGGAACTGGGGTTCTCTGGGAGCACTTTGGCAGTGCTGGCTGGATTCGTGTGGGCTGTCGAGGAGGACAGGGGGAGTCTGAGGTATCTGAGGTATCAACCGGCTCTCCAGCCCGGGGAGGGAGATCCTGACCCTGCTCCCTGCACGCAGCCGGGAAGGGGCCCCTGTCCCCGGGAGGCGTGGCTGGAAGCCAGCCTGTGCTCAGGTTTCTGGTGTGCCACCTCCAGGGCACGGCCGGCAGCGAGGTGCCCAAATCCCACCGATTTCCCGTGGTGTTCCCTTGGATGCACCAGCCTTCAGCTCTGCTGGGGCACGGGAAGAGTCCCTGAACAGCACCGACTGGGGTTTGTAGGTGCAGAGCCAAGCCAGGTGTCCACAGGGCTGCAGGGAGGACTCACCTGAGCAGAGCCTGTGGTTCCAGCAGTGCCTCTGCCTGTAGGGACAGCTGGATGGCTGCTTTGGGAGCTGGAGCACGTAGTGTCATGGTTTTATCTGGGCTTGTTTCATACAGCTAGATACAAATCTGTCTATACCCTCACCAAGAGCTTTTTAAAAAACAGCTTGGGTAAATGGTTTTCTTGCTATATGTATTTATTAGGTGTTGAGTTCTGGCTTCCTTGTTCTTTAGAGCAGAGCTGAGAAGCTGCAGGTATTTCAGGAGGGCCTCAGGCCTCTTGTTTTGCAGCAAGATGCTGGGATGCTTCCTAGCAGTCAGGCAGAGGAGATGTTGTAGCAAAGCCTGCAGATTTCTCCTCCCCTTGGCAGAAGCAGAGTAGCCAAATCTCTGAACCCTGTGGAGACCTGGAGCCCCAGCACCTTTTTGGATGGGTGTGCTCAGCTCCACGGCCAGCAGGGCTGATTCTGCACAGTGCAGTTAGTGCTGTGCTGCTGCCAGCACCACAGTTTGTTTCACCTGAGGCTGTCCACACCTTTGGTCTGTACCAGATTTCTCCTCCCCTTGGCAGAAGCAGAGTAGCCAAATCTCTGAACCCTGTGGAGACCTGGAGCCCCAGCACCTTTTTGGATGGGTGTGCTCAGCTCCACGGCCAGCAGGGCTGATTCTGCACAGTGCAGTTAGTGCTGTGCTGCTGCCAGCACCACAGTTTGTTTCACCTGAGGCTGTCCACACCTTTGGTCTGTACCAGGCCCTGCTGGAGGCCAGCAGGGCTCTGTCAGATTCTGCACAGTGCAGTTAGTGCTGAGCTGCTGCCAGCACCACAGTTTGTTTCTCCTGAAGCTGTCCACACCTTTGGTCTGTACCAGGCCCTGCTGGTGCACCAGCATGTTCTGGTGGCTGTGTGGGTGATTCCAGGGCTTCAGGGTGGAGAGGTTCTGGCTGAAGTTAAAGTTCTGCCAAGGTTGGTTTTGTATGTGGGTGGTGATAGTGGTGTTGTCTCCACTGGGAACGAGGGGAGGGGAGACATCCCTCCTGCCTGCTCCTGGGAGTGCACTGTGGCTGGGAGGAGGGGAGGAGGAGGGGAGGCAGAGGAGAAGGAGGGGAGGCAGGACCAGGAGGGTGCTGGTGGAATGAGGAGAGCTGGAGGGGTGGCAGCACGTGGACTAGTGGGTGTGTGCAGCCTGGGGAGCTTACCTCCCTGCAGGGAGCCAAGCAAGTAAGTGTTTGCCTGGGATGTGGCTCTTCAAGATGACCCCAGTATGAGCTTCTCCTCCCTCCTGGGAGCTCAGCTGCCTTTGCAGGCAAAGGAAGAACCCACCAGAAGGAATGGAAAGGAAGGAGCTGAGGCAGAGGGGCAGTGGGTCATCAGCCAGGGCACTACAGCAGTGGGGACTGAACAGAATCAGGGGCCTCGTTCACGTGGCCCTGCAGCTCACATAACCTCTGACATCACTGTGAGGTGCCTGAGATGCCACTGACAGGAGCTTGGTGCCATTTGGTACTTTGCTGGCAGCATGTCCACGAGTGCCTACAGCAGAGCCAGGATGTGGCATGAGAGAGCAGCACAGGGCAGCTGCACTGGGCAGCTCTTTGGTCTGGGTAGGGGGTGCCCACACGTCTTTGCTACCATTGAACCACAACCCTGTCCCCCAGGGGTGAAGTGGGGACAAGCTGCCAGGTGTTGCAGGCACTCCATCCCCCACAGCCTCCAGATCTCCTTGAGATCAGCTCTCCAGCAAGAGGGGGTGACAGCACAGGAGGCATGCAGCACGTCTCAGCTGGAGCCTGGTGTGGGAAGGCCTTGGTTAAAGGTCAGAGCCACGGGGAGGTGGTGTCAGGGTCTGGAGAGGCTCTGAAACAGCACCCGAGGAACTGAGCATCACAGTGGGTATGACAGGGTGGAGTCTTGTGGGGGGATCTGGGTGTTCTCTTCCAAATGTAACTGGGGGTTCTTCAGCATAAATCCAGCCTCTTAGAAGGAGTGGGCAAAAATTGGTTACATATGTTGGAGGAGAGTCAAGCTGGTTGTGGGAATAAGGCTTGCACAGACCAAGTAGAAGGGGTGGGACAGACTTACTCTTCCAAGTGTTTCTGGACTAGCTCCATCCCAACACCATCAGAATGATCCTGCTGCTGCATTCCTCTTACCTGGGGCCAGACTGACATGGTGAGGAGATCTCACCACTGAAGCTGCCCACTGTCACATCTGACCCTCCAAAATGAAGTGACAGTCTTGGCAAACCCAGCCCAGAGCACGTGTGGGAAGGGCTGATCGTCCTGAAGAAGGGAATGCTGCTGGAGGAGGCCACAGCTGAGCCTTGGTTTGCAGGTAGATGATGGCTGATGTGTGGAAGGACATTAGTGACCAGTGGCAGAGGGTCTCTGCTGGGCACAGCTTGTGTTGGGCTGTCAGTGAGTGGGGTACAGCAAGTGCCTGAGCTCCTGGCCAGGGGGGAAGCTGTCCCTGGAGGAGAAGCTGTCCCTGGAGGAGAAGCTGTCCCTGGAGCCTGGTGGCAAATGGAAATGCACTTGCCAGACTCCAAGAGTGGGTCTGTCCTTCCTGGCTTCTCTCCCCCATCTCCAGGCCTGGGTCAGGGCTGTTTTCCTGCTCACCACCCGGGGCAGGGGTGCGGGTGTAGGGCCCTCAGCTCTGCCCCAGAGGTGCCTGTGGCTGGGAACAGAGGGGCCTTTGTTGCCCGGGGCATGGCTGCCCCCCCTGGCAGAAATGGGGCTGAAATCAGCACTTTCCAGCCCTTTCCCTTCCCAGCGGGTGCTGCGGGCTCAGCACCTTGGCAGCATGGCCTCTGTCTGTCCTGAGCAACACCTTAGGAGCCACACCTGAGGGGACAGACCTTCAGGAGAGCCTTCCCCTCCAGGGGCTCCTGCCCAGCCCCACGCTGCCCTCAGCAGCAGCTGCTGCCTCTGCCCTGGGGAGCCCGAGCCCAAGTGGAAAGGGAGAATCAATCCACATCACCTTTTCCTTGCCACGTTCAAGCCAGGTGTGTGGAGAATCACAGGTGAAGGCTCCAGTGTGTTGCTTGAAATACTTCAGAATATGTTGTATTTGGAAGAAGCAAAGACTTATTTCTAGAATAATTCCAACTGCTACTGAGATTTAATGGGCTGTAGCAGGTAGGAGTGAAAACAGACCCCACACAGATCTGCCCCAATGCCATTTCTCAGTGGCAGCCTTGCCACAGGACATCTACAAATATTTACAGTGATTACACAGTTGGGTGGTGTAGCACATGATAGTTTTTTACAGACAACATTGTCAATTTACTTTAACAGCCCGTTCACTCCATGACTGTTCCATCCCCCAGGCTTAGAAAGAAGGTTGTGAGCAGCAAAATCAGCAGGTTTCCCTCTCAGAACTCCCTGTGAGGAATTTGGGAGGCAGTGCTAGCTCTTGTGTCAGCACCTCAGGAGCACATCAGATGGATGTGTTCCTGGGAGAGCAAATCCATCTGAAAAGCCAGATTTGTTTATCTTTGTCTTTTTTTTCTTAAATTTTGTAATGCCTGTGTGCTTTGACTCTTGCTTTCTTAAAATGTTTCTTTCAAAAAACTGAGATTAATCTGCTTGGCTCAAGAAGAACCAGCAAGTTTTGTTAACTCAGTGCCAGGCTGGGCCCACTCCCCAGCCAGCATTTCACCCCCACCAGCTGTCTTCTGAAGACTGACTCCTTCCTTGGCTTGTCCTGCAGGAGCCAGGAGGAACCTCTGGGCAGGATCCATGGTCTGTAGGCAGCACCAGCCTCAAGTCTCTGCTCAGACAGAGGGGAGGTGGAGGTCAGGTAGCCCAGCTCTGTCTCCATGGGGAGTCCTTAGGCCCTTCAGCAGGTGCAGCCAGGGTCTGAGATCAGTGAAGATCTAAAGGGGCTGACTGAAGAGATGTTTTCCTCACACTGATTGCAGCAGCAAGTTGATTTTATGCAGTGGGTGGCACAAACTCCTGTTCTGTGAGCAGCCTGAGCACCTTTCCTATCACCCAGGCCTTGGGGAGGGTCCTGCCGTGGTTTAAGCTGTGTATAGAGGTTGTGGGGCAGGATGGGAGAGGGAAGGAGATGCTGTAGCCAGACAGGGCTGCTTTGGTGCAGTTCACTCTTCTGGAAAAGGCTTTCACCATGGAGGTTTGGTGACCCTTGTGACCACTGTCAGCAGCACCTCTGAAGGGAGAGGCTCACGCCGATGCCACCTACATCTCGTGGCTCCAGTGAACCACCCAGTGCTCTGCTGCTGAGCATAGGTGTGCTCACCTGCTTGCCCCAGCAGGCCCCTGCTGACCCCTGTCTCCACCTCTCTCTTCCAGGCACCTGTGTGAAGTGCAGCAAGGGGGTGTATGGAGCCAGCCAGGCGTGCCAGGCCATGGGCAACCTCTACCACGACAGCTGCTTCACCTGCGGGGCCTGCAGTGAGTACCCTCTGCCCAGGGACCAGTGCTTTGGGCACCACATCCCTCTGCTCTGAAGGGAGAAAGCCAGGAGGTGGTCATTGAATTGTCTGCCACAGCTCTGTGTCCTGGGGGTGGTGGTTGCTGTTTGGTTTGGGGTGGATTGGAGGCCTGCTGGAAGGGTGTTCTGGAGCGTGCCAGCTCTCTGGCGTGTGGCACAGGGGATGGTGGTTTCTGTTCCTCTGCTTCTCAGTTCCAGCCACGTTTTCTGACTTGCTGGGGTAGTGGCAGTGAATGTGCCTAGGCCAGCGTGCTGAGGGCTTTGATTTGTCACATCAGGCCTCAGGGCCAGCCTGGGCTGCAGGGCCCAGGGACAGCCCCGGGCAGGGAGTGAGGATCTCTGCCTGGGGCAGTGGTGGAGTCCCCATCCCTGGAGGGGTTTCCAGCCCATGGAGATGTGCTGAGGGACATGGGTTAGCAGTGCACTGGTGGAGTTAATGGTTGGACTTGATGATCTTAAAGGTCTCCTCCAACCAAATTGGTGCCATGATCCTGTGGGTGCTGGCAACAGGCTCTGGTGGTACCAGAGACACCTTTCCAGACAGAGCTGCTGCTCGGCTCTCCTGGTGATGGTGTTTTCATTGTGTGCATTACTTCTGCTGGCTGAAATCATCTTGTCCTTCTGAGAGTCCTCTGGTCAAAGCATCTGAGTGCAGGACTGACCCAGGTCACACATCTTGCTTGTTCCTCCAGAGCAGAGGAGCCCTGCCCCGAGGAGGGGGGCAGTCCCTGCCAGCTTGCTCCCTGGGTACCACGGGGAGGGGGCTGCTTCTTGGGCATCAGGCTGGGAGCAGCAGTGGTGGGCCCTGTGAAGTCAGCCCAAGAAGTGGGGTAAATAGCCCAGCTGGCCCCACTGAGCTCCCTGCTGCCTGCCAGACCCCTGCCTGAAGCCTGCTGGAGCCTACAGCATGGATCCTCCCACAGCTTTGCTAGCAGGTCCAGGGTGGAGCTGGGGTGAGGGACAGGCTGCTTGATGTCAAATCCTGTCTGTTTGTAAGAGTGGTTTTTCTGCTTTATGTTTCACTCTAGGGCTAGTAGCATATTTTTAGAAATGTAGCTATATATGTGGTGGCAGGAAAAGAAAATCCTTCTGGTGCTTTTATCTGTATGAGTTTGGATTTCCCAGATGAACCTTGGAGTTTTTCTCCTGTGTTGTATTTAGAGTTGTAAACTCATCAGGACTGCGTGTGTTTTGTTTGGAGCTGTAAAGTGGGAATAAATATAGAAAGCTGTGTATGCTTTTCAATAATAGCTGAGGCTGGAGCCCTGCTCCTTGCCCAGCTGTCCCACACCAGCTGCCTGGCCTCACCTATGTTTTCAGTAGGGCACGTCACCCTCAGCTGACTGAAGATGGGAAAACTGGAAAGAAAAAGTGGTGTTTGCAGGTGGTGGCAGTTTCCTAAAGGCTCAGAATTCAGCAGCTCACTCTTTGTTCCTCTGTAAACCCAAATCTCCAGGTGGGGCTTTGCTGCAGGGAGCTCTCCCCCTCCATGACCGGGCAGCCTCAGGACTGCACACAAAGCTCCTGTTAAAAATAATCCAGCAGCAGGTTTGAACTCTCTTAAATTTCTAAAATTACTACTGAGGAACTGATGCTCTAGAAAGAAACACTTTCGATCCTCCTCTGAGAATGGATTTTACCACCTTTCTTTGGAGACAAGCCTCCAGAGGAGGTGCTTGCAGTCACAGAGGTATCAGTGTCACTTCTGTTGGTGTGTGGTGGGTTGATTAGAAATGGCATTAAGCTATTTTTTAAGGAGGTGGGCTGGTGAGGGCTGAAAGAACAGCTGTTTACTGGTATTCACAGATGTTTATTGGTATTCACAGCTATTTACTGGTATTCTAACAGGCCACCCTTTGCAGAGGTTTGCAGTGCAGGCTGGAGAGGACTGGGTGTGAGGACAGGCAGTGCTGTCTCCCTGGCTGCAGAACACCTCTGGGGCAGCCTGTGTGGAAACTCTGGTTTCTAGCTGAAAAGTAAGTTGTGCTTTTTAAGGTCAAGTGGAGTTCATCCTGGACACCATCCAGTGTAAACTTGTCTTTGAGGAGTCAAGGTTGCTCGTGATTTCAATCCTAAAATTTCTGCTCTGGTGGAGCACTGGGTATCTGCACGCCAGTAAATAAAATGCTCCAAATTACCTATTAAGGTAAAGCATATTGTCCTCCAGATATTTATATCTGCTCTCCTGCTGGTTTGATTTTAGGGTAGATTTCTAATTTTGCTCATAGCTGGGTTTGTGTCCAAGTGTGTGTTGGTTTCCCAGATAGAGAAAATCAAGAGGGTCTAAAGGAGGGGAGGGAGGTGATACCTCGTGGTGCCAAATTTCCTCCTCCCTTTGTCTCCTGCTGCACATGTGTTCAGAGAGAAACGACAGAGCACTGGGTTGAGCAGAGCTAAGTGTTTATTACAAGAGAAAAAAAAAAGTATAGTTTTTTTTGAGCCACTGGCATGTCATGCAGAAAATTTGGTTTAGAGGTCAAAACAACCGATTTAGAATGATTCCTTTGGCATAAATGTCTCATTTATCTTCTTGTTTGTTCCAGGGCAGAGACACAAACAGGGCAACTTTTTGCAGAGCAGCAGAGGGAAAAAAAAAAAAACACTTGGGTCTCTTTCTGCAGGATTAGTAATAAATCATATTTGCTTTACAGGAGGGCCCTGAAAGTAGGTTTAAAAAAAAAAGTCCTCCAAACTCACAGAGCCATTTCCTGCACGCTGAAGGTGCCTGTTTCCTTCTGGGGTTATATTTGCTTTACAGGAGAGCCCTGAAAGTAGGTTTAAAAAAAAAAAAAGGTCCTCGAAACTCACAGAGCCATTTCCTGCAAGCTGAAGGTGCCTGTTTCCTTCTGGGGTTTGGGGGTTTTTCAGCTTCTTGGACAAACAGTTGTAGTTACCAGATTGTACACATTAACCCTCTGAGGTCAGTCACTCCTCTGCCCCTCCCCAGAACACACAAGATGCAGGTGTTGCCAGGTGCTGAGGGGTTGTGTAGGAAGCCAGGGGAGTTTATAACCACACAGATTGAGCTGGGTGGTGTCACTGTAAGCTGTTGGGTGGTTTTGTCTTCCCTGGGGTTTGGGCAGGCTCATGTCCAGCAGCTGCAGGCTGCCTGGAAAACAGCCCTTCTCAGCTCTGCCAGCAGCATGGCCGAGAGCATAAGGGGCACCTGAGCCACTGGGTCCTCAGAGGAAATCTGAAAGCTGAAGAAGTGCAGGGGAAGCATCAGAGATGCCTGGGAAGGAAACAAGTGGGCGAGGGAGGGTGTTGGAGGGACAGGATGGTTGCAGGGTGGGGTGGGGAGAGCCCCACGTCGAGCTGCGGCACACGGGCCAGAGGAGGGGAAGATTTTGGGCCCTGGCAGCAGGGAGGTGAGAGCCCTGGGTGTTTGCCAGCTCACACAGCTCCACCTTTGGCACGTCAGCACTACTGCACTACTTTCTTTTTCTTTTTGTTCCTCCTTGTGGGCTCAGATTGCTGCTGCTGGCTGTGTAAGGGTGCCCTGGGAGCAGGGTTACCTGTGAGCCCAGCCCTCTGCCTGCACTAATTAACCCTGCTGCAGTAATTATGAAGCATGGCTGCTCAGAGCAGTGCAGCTCTTGCTGCCTTTGGGCTGTCTGTGTTCAGTGAGCATGTCCTGTGTGAGTGTGTAACCCCTGGAACAACAAGGCTGTGGTTTTTATTAGCACTGCTCAACAACTATGAGCAGGAGGTCACCTTTGTCTGTAAGGGTGACTTAATCCCAGGCAGCAGCAGGATGAAGTATTGCCCATAATCCTTCCTCAGCAGCCCTCCAGTAAAACCACCATGCCAGAGTCGGCCTAGTAAACAATATATTTATTTCTCTTAGCAAAAGTAAGGTCAGGAAGGGTTCAGATGTGCCTGGCTGTGCAGCTGGGGGATGGGCAGGGCAGCCCTGCCTGTCTCCACACTGGTCTGTCACTGCTCTGTCCTTGCTGGCTTTTTGGTCTCAGCTCACTGGTGAGTAACCCCTGTCTGTGCCATGGGCACAAGGAGTGCTTGTGGTGGAGGAGAAGCACTGGGGCAGCTTTCACCCTAGGGTGCCAGTGCTTGTTCCTCTCCTGGCCAGGTCTGAGGTGGGGGTGGTGCTGGGGTCTGGGCATGGCCCAGGTCTCCTCAGAGGAGAGCTGGTGCCAGCGCTCTGCTCGCCCACGAGGGGATGTGGGCAGGGCTGCAGCAACACACTCGTGGGCTGAGGGGGTTGCTGTGGTTCAGTGCTGGCTGAAAGGCTGAAATCCTTAGGACAATGGGAGAAAAAAGGTTGAAATCTTTAATGGAACGAGTGATGCTGAGAGCAGCTGGGCACGGGGCTGAAAACTGGTTCCTCAGCAGGGACTCACAGCCCTTTGTCCCAGGGGGGCTTTATCTCACCTCTGAAGCTTGAAGCTTCTAGGAGTTTTCCCATGGAAGATAAACATTTAATATCTTCTTGCAGGGCTTTGCCCCCAGCAGAGGAGAGCTGGTGCTCAGTTGGGTGGTTTCACTGTGTTCCCCTCCGAGGAGCTGTCTCTGCCCCCCCCCGGGGCTGCTCTGCTGTCAGAGGTGGCTGACCCCTTCTGCAGGGTGCCAGAGCATGCTCTGGGCTTTCAGGCATCACCTCTTTTTCTCAGAGTTGTGCTTTTTTTTTTACCACCTCAAACGTGAGAGTGCAGAGGGTGTGTTTTGTGATTGTGCAATGCTGCTGGTGTAGTTGAGAGGCAGGCTGAACACTTCCCATGGTAGTGGAGTTCTGGGCTCCCCAGTTCAAGAGAGACAAGGAGCTACTGGGAAGAGTTGAGTGGAGGCTACAAAGGTGCTGAGGAGCCTGGAGCATCTCTGTGCCAGGACAGGCTGAGAGCCCTGGGGCTGGTTAGCCCAGAGAAGAGAAGCCTCAGAGGGGATCTGATCAATGTGGAACATGGGTTTGGGACCCCACTGTCCTTTTGATAACAGAAAAGCAGCTCAAAAGAGAAAGCTGGGTCCAGCTCCCCAGCAAGCAAATGATGCATCTCCCAGCATCTGTGGGCTGTGGCAAGTCCCTGGTAAACCCTTTTTGGTAGGAGCTTCAGAGAGAGCTGCCCTTTGAGCAAAGGATGGGGAAAAGCACCAGCACCCAGGGAGCACAGCCCTGTGGTGCACCTCGTGGCAGCTGCTCAGCAGGGGGTGTTTGTTTTAGCACCAAGGCAGAGTCACAAAGCTGGAGATACTCTGAAATCAATGCTTTCCTATGCTTCTGCCAGGGGCTTAAAGAGGATGTGGAGAGGAGCTGAAACTAGTCAAAACAACCACTTCTTCCCTAAAGTGATTACATCACTGCCCCCTCAAAGGGCTCTTGGTGTCAGCAGCTCCTCTTCACGGGTCCACATAACACCAGCAGCTGAGTTAGAACTCCATTCTGAAGGAATGGGCTTGCAGCAGGAGCCCATTCCCAGAGCACCAGCTGTGGCACCTCCTCTGAAGGTCTGTTGCCATCAATCTTGACCTGCTAATGTCATGGGGTTAAAAATACTGTGGGTGCAGCGTGGCTGGGAAGTGCTGGTTTGGTCACCCTGGAAGAATGAGGTGGTGGCAGCCATCCAAACCTCATCCCTTCTGCAGGAGCCATGAGCATGCTGCTCAGGCACCAGCCAGAGCCTTCAGCCAGAGGAGTGTCTCCTCATTGCATGCTTCCACACACGTGTTCTTCCTCACCACCACCAGCTTGTCCTTAAGGAGAGAGTGGAGGCATAGAGGTGAAAAGTCTCTTGGCCACCTGCCTGTTACCCTGAGCTGGAGCCAGCCCTATGGAGCCAGCCCTACCATGTCATTTAAAATCAGTGTTAAATAGGGGGGGCTTGTTTTCCATTTCCAGGAGTGCCCAGTCCCAGTGTGGGTTATGGGCCACAGAGCTCATGCTTCCAAGATTAGAGACTTTCATTTTGTGCTCGGGGTCCCCTTTGGTGTTGGCACCTTGGCAAAGCATCAGGTGGGTGAGAGAAACCACAGAGGGATGCTTTTGGGGTTGGCCAGTGGTGTCCCATCCCACATCTGCACTGGTGCAGGGGAGGGCTGGTGCCCGGGGTCACCTCTGCCCCCCAGGTAGGGTCACCTCTGCCCCCCGGGTCAGGCCACTGGCCCCAGCAGGGCTGGGAGGAGGGTGGGGGTGGCAGCCTGGCAGGGTGCTGTGGGTCTGGCTCCCACGCTGCTGAGCAGCTCCTGCAGCCTCCCCAGCAGCTCCTGCACGGGCAGCCCGGGGCTTGCTCCTCCAGAAGGGCTCTGAGGCCTCCTGCTCTGGCTGAGCTGGCTGGCACAGCCTCGGAGCTTCCTGGAGCATCCCTGTGTCCCCAGGAGGAGCTGTCTCAGCCCCGGAGTGCCCTCTGCCGTGCTCAGGGGTGGGTGGAGCTGGTTTGACTTGGCTCCCTCCTCTCCTCTAGGCTTTGCAGCCTGCCTGGGTATTTAAGGCTCCCAGGTAGGTGTGTGCAATGAGGCACTGAGGTGTGGCCTCCAGGCCAGCCCCTGGTCTCACCCCAGCAGCCAGTGGGTGCTGATTTCCTTCCAGCAGTGCCTGGTAGGTCCCCAAAACCTGCCTGCAGCAGGTCCTGCCCCAGGCTCTGCCTCCAGGCACGTCCTTGGGGCTCCTTGTCCTGGCAGCACAAGCTGAGCTGCTCCAGTGCCAGGCAGGATTTCAAACCCCTGGCTGACCAGGGAAACAGGGCTGCAAAGAGTCAGGAGCAGCTTCTTTGCAAAGACCCCAAACCTGGCCCTTTTCTCCCAGAAGGCAGGGCCTTGAGAAGAAGTGGTGGCAGCAGGAGTGTGCATTGCCATAGCTACACAGCACTGCAGACAGGCTGTGAATGGGAGGCCTGAGCTCAAAAGCTGCAGTAAATAAATCTTCCCCATATGTGGAGCCCTTTCTTGGAAAAACTTTGTCATCTTCTCTCCATAAGAACAACAACAAAAAATACTCCTTTTTAAACCTTTTCAGGCTTTTTGTGGGAGCTGCAGGAGCGAGTGTGCCGTGGGGGGCTGGTGCCATGGGCTCAGGCACTCTGCCAGGGCAGGAGGGGTGCTCAGGGAGCTGCTGGCACCTTCTGGCAGGACAGGATGGCTGTGATATTTTTGAGGAACAGAGTCAGCTCTGGAGCAGCCCCTGTATGCCCCTGCTTCCTTCCTCCTTCCCCCTCCCCTCACTCAAGGAGTACTCAGTGCCCTCGCTGGCTCTTGGCAGGTTGTTGGGTGTTGTCTGCCAGGAGGTGGTGCAGGTTGCAGAGCAGCCTCCTCCTGCCTGGGGGTGGGACTGCTGGCCTGATCCAGCGACTGGAGCTCATCAGGGGAGGAGGAGATGGGGCTGGAGGGTGGAAATGCCCGTGCTGGGGCTGGGGGCTCTTCTCCAGCTGTGCAGCAGCCCTGCTTGGACCCCACTGCCCCGTGTCCCTCACCCCACATCTCCATGGCTTGGGAACCCCTCCAGGGATGGGGACTCCACCACCCTGGACAGCCCTCAAGGGGACCTAAAACTCCCCTGGCACAACTTGAGGCTGTTTCCTCTCATCCTGTGGCTTCTTCCCTGGGAGAAGAGCCCAACCCCACCTGGCTCCAGCCTCCTGCCAGGGAGCTGTTCACTTCTCAGCAGCCAGTTTTTGCTCACATCTTCTCCCCACTATCTGATGACCTTTCTCTTCTCTCTGTGTTTTCCCTCAGGTCGAAAGCTGAGAGGAAAAGCCTTTTATTTTGTCAATGGCAAAGTGTTCTGTGAAGAAGATTTCCTGGTAAGCACTGGGCTGAGCCTCCCTGGCACACACGTGGCCTGTCAGCTCGTCCAGCATCCTGCCTGGCCCTCCTGCTCCACCATTGACCCAGGCCAGCCCCAGCCATGGTGGCTGCCCACATCTGCTGCTGGGTGTAGCCCCTAGTTGAAGCCATAATCTCTTGCAATAGCTCCTTCAAAGCATTTTTCTGTCCACACCTTGGAGGCAGGAGCTGCAGAATTTCCTTTTCCAATGAACTGGCTTTGTTTGGGCATCTTAAAGGTTATATTTCTGTCACCCTCAGTGGGTTTTGTGTGAATGTAGCTGAGCATGAAGCAACCCCATGGTCCTCTCCCTGGCTGGTGGAGGCACAAAAATGGCACAAAAAGCCCTGTGCCATTCTGAGTGCTGACAGGTTAAGGGATTTCTGTCAGAGAAGTGAGTTAATCTTTTGCTCTCATTGCTGTATTCTTCACAGGCCTAAAATGGAAAGATTGATCAAATGCATCTAAGAGATTTCATTTTTTCCAGTTTGCATGTCCAGCATTCAGCCAGGACTGAATGGTGGGAGTCACCTTAGGCAGGGGATGTGGACGTGACAGGAGGTGACTTACCCTTAGATCTCAGCCACAGCAGCAAAAAGAGTTCCTCTGGGCCAAACGTGACTGTTACACTGATGGGAAGCTGGGATGGTACCTCTCATCTCTGAGAGGCTTCAGCAGACCTATGACAGTGTGACCACAGGGAGAATTTGGCTTTCCAAGCCTATATCTGTAGATACTGTGATGTAGATATGGGATAAACCTGAGTTCCTGGCTTGTAGGTTCACATGGTCAAGTAAGCAGTTAAGTCTGATTAGTAAATGCTTTATTTGTATGGCTCTTTATGGTATTAATGTACTTAAATTTAGGACTTGGAAGTTACAGGAACTTGTACACTAGAGATCTGGTGCCTATAGAATATTCTCTGGGGACTCTGCACAGCCTGGCACAGTGAAGAAGCACTGGCCAGTTTAGCTGGTGCCAGGAGCACAGAGAAAGGCCACACCAAGAACACCCCTCAGCACACTCCTTATGCTCCACTGGCCTGGGGACATTTTAAGCCAATTCTTTTTTTCTTTGCCCTTGCAGTATTCTGGTTTCCAGCAGTCAGCTGACAGGTGCTTCATCTGCGGCCACTTGATAATGGACATGGTAAGTGATAATTGCTTTAGGGGGAAAAAAACCCACAGCTTTATAGAGGAATGCATCAAAAGCAAAGTATATTCCTGCCAGCAGTGTGTGTTAGCAGCTGGTACTGTGCCCAGGGTGAGATGGGGCACGGGAGGCACAGCCACGGAGCCTTCTGGTGAGTTGTGGGATCTTTGTGAAGCTGGCACCCCCCAGCTCTGCCCAGGCCGTTGCAGAAGTGTGGACACCTGCTGAAGCAGCAGTTCTCCTTGCCTGCAAGATGTGCAGGAGGTGGGCAGTGGCTCGGGGCACCAGCTGGCCTTCAGCCAGCTCCTGGCACCCTTCTGCTCGGGGCTGTGCAGAGGGAGGCAAATTCCGGGTCCTGGAGCGGGTGGGGTAAAACCACAGCTGAGGCAAAGGGATTGGGTGTTTCTGGGTGGTCAGGTCACAGCACGCCCCCCAGCATTTTCTAGTTCTTATTGTTGATTATCTTTGCTTGCCTGCTTGCACTGGAGAGCGTGGAAATTGGAAAAGCTGTCTTCTGCTCAGGAGTCTGATGGCGTGGCCGAGGAGCCGTGGTACTCCAGGTAGCAATTGCTGCCCCAGAGCCAGCAGGAGAACTACAGCTGCTGTGTTCCACACAGCTTCTCTACTCCATGTTAATTAGAAAGCCAGGATAACGAGCACAAAGCTCTGCAGTACCTAAGGAGTTACAAAACCCTAGCAGTAGTCTTTGTCTCAGCCTCTCATGGAGAATATAAAGATGTATTTCCCTTTGTTGGCCTGGTACCTCTTGCCTTCTGATCTTGCTAAGTATTCACTCCCTGCTGGCTTCAGAAATTATCTCCTTTCCTTTGAATTCTGTCACTTCTATCCTTTGTAATGCTAAATGCCTTCACTGAGACTCTAAATCATCTCCTTATGCATGCTAACAGTTCATTTCTCTAGCCAGGTGATACGTAAGGGTTCCAGCTGCCCCTCCGATCCCTCATTTTTCAGATGAGGGGCCTGAATGAAGGCAGGGCCTGGCTGATGAGCACGCAGCGTGGCGTGCTGTGAAGCTGTGTGCTTCTCCTTGGCACCTTTGCTGGCTGTTCACCTGCGTTTCTCCTGTCTCTTGGTTTGTTGCAGATCTTGCAGGCTCTAGGGAAATCCTACCACCCGGGCTGCTTCCGCTGCGTGGTCTGCAACGAGTGCCTGGATGGTGTGCCCTTCACTGTCGACCCTGAGAACAAAATCTACTGTGTCAGAGATTACCACAAGTAAGGGGAGAGGGAACAGCAGGGGTGCTCCAACCCACCAGCCTCTCACTTAACTTTTTAGCTGGTTACTAAGTGCAGATTAGCAGAACGAGGACAGGGTTAGGAGCTGGAAGTTTGAGGATGGAGCAAGACCCTGGAAATTCTCAGTGTCTCTCCTCTTGGCCTGCTGTTGACTCCTGTGTAACTCTGAGGAAGTCTCTGAATCCCTGGGCTTCAGCTGCTCCTTCTGCAAAGCAGAGATAGTGAGAAATGGTGCTCGTGGAGTGTGCAGGGGTGTAAGGAATTAGTCTGCTCTCAAGCAAGACTGTGAGTGCCAGCAAAAAATCAATGCAAATTACTTGCAGAGGAGCTGAGGGGCTGAGTCTGACTTCTGAAGGATCACCACTGAAGCTGCAAACCAAAACTTCTATCCAGCTCTAAATAACAACTGACAAATCCACTTTAAAAATCACTTCTCATTCAGGCAGTGAAATGAGGTGGCTGTGCTCTTAGCTGGTCACAGTGATACATTTGGAGTGTCCTCCTGGCTTGCTTTGCTCCTCACTCCCTTTTCCAAGCAGGCAGAGTATCAAGTGTTGCCCAGGCAGCCCCTGGAATTCTTCTGTGTTGTGCCAAGATGAAAGTTGGGCTTCTGTTGTCCTGAGATGTTGCATATTTCCCTGCAAATTTGATTGAATTTAATTAGTTGTTTATTGTGTTACATTGTGCAGTAAGACCATAAGGAGCTGTATGGGCCCAGGGTGTTTTCTCCTGAGGTTCCTGCCCCGTGGCAGACCCAGTTTTTCATCTGGGGAAGTTTTTCTAGGGGTCATTTTTCTGGAGATGGTCCTGCTCAGTTTCTCCTCATTCTCTCTTCCAAATCTCTCTGTAGCAGCCAATAATTTTACAGTGGGTTTGGGTATTTTCCTGGCACTGAGTGCAAAAGGTCAGGTCTCTTTTGGCCTGACGTGTGCCAAGCAATCAATGCTAAAATGAATCTATGATCTCGTGCTGCAAAGCTTTCCTGTGGATGAGCCATTTACAGCTGCAGCTTTCCATGTTGATCCATAACTTGCTTTCAATTTCTCCTTGCTCTTGCAGAGTTCTAGCTCCAAAGTGTGCAGCCTGTGGACTTCCCATTCTGCCCTCTGAGGTGAGAGCCTTTTCTTCCCTGTCCCCTCACAGGGGGGAGTGTCACATCCCAGGGTGTGCTCCCCCACACTGGGCTCTGTCCCAACGGGTGTCCCCAGGGGTGAGGAGGGACGAGCCCTTCCCCCAGAGTGCAGCCTTTTGCCCCACACTCATGTGCTCTTCTTGAGATGTGACCTCCTTGTGCTGGAGAATGAAGCTTACCCTTGCTGGGCCAGGCTGCTGCCTTCACCTCCTGCAGGGCTGTTCTGTGCTGGGTTTGTGTTCAGGGCACCTTTCCTTTGTGTCAGTAAATGCTGGTGGCACTCGTGAAGGACCTCAGTGTGACCCCTCTGGGACTGACTTGTTTTAATCCTTGGAGGAGATGAATCTGGGGCAAAACCAATTTAAAATGCTGATAAATGTGATATAATGGAATTACCAATCATTAGTGTGTGATTTGATTGTGACTGTTAAATTTTAGAGGCCAGTGGAGGATGAAACTGCTGTAAAAATGACTGCAGGGGACAGGATTTATTGATGGTGTCCAGCAGCAGCCCAAAAGTGTTTCCTCAACATTTGCCTGGTTGCAGGAAGCAATCCACAGAAGGCAGGTGCCCAGTCCTGCTGCAAACCTCTGTCATTTCTCTCTTGCTTGGGTGCTTCCAGGGGTCTGATGAAACCATCCGGGTTGTGTCCATGGACAAGGACTACCACGTGGAGTGTTACCACTGTGAGGTGGGTCAGCAGCCTCCTCGGGGGGTGGGCACGTGGTGGTGGCAGCTCCTGTTGTGTGCAGGTGGAAATAAATCTCCTCCTCCCTGCCAGTGGCAGCAGAGGAGCAGCTCAGCCCTTGCCTTGGGAGACCTTTTCTCTCGGTGCCTGAGGAATTGCCACTCTGAGGAAGAGTTTTCACAGCAGTGTGTCTCAGCTGCCAGTCCACTTGCTAGCTACAAAGCTTGGGCAAAGAGTGAATGAACACTTTTAAAGGTGGCAGTGGATCTGTTGGTGAAGGAAACGTGGTGACTTAGTGAGGCTGTCAGAAGCCTGGAGCTCCAGGGTGTCTGATCTCCATGGCAGATTGCTGAGAAACACGAAGGCAGGGACTGAGGTGGGGGGTGAGTTACCTGCACTCCCCTCTCCCAGGAGCTGAACGTGTCACTGGGGCTGGAGAAGGGATGTGTCTGCACAAAAAAGTCCTGACAGAACCCAGCTCTTAAAAAAAATGTTTGATCTCTGTGCAGGGCTTCCCAGAGAGCCTTCAGACTTCTGTGCTGGGAATTAAAATGAGTAGATGTCATTTCTCATCTTCTCTCCTGGCTTGTGTCAGCACTAGTGTGGCCAGCAGGAGCAGGGCAGGGATTGTCCCTATGGACTGGGCACTGGGGAGGCTGCACCTTGAGTCCTGGGGTCAGTTTTGGGTCCCTCACTCCAAGAGGGACCTTGAGGGGCTGGAGCATGGCTAAAGAAGGTGAGGGACGCTGGGGGAGGGGCTAGAGA